CAGGAGCGGCTCGGGATCCAAAGCAGGGATGCTAAGGAGCAGACGAAGAGCAGGGAGAGCTAAACCGCAGGAGAGCAGCTGCGAGGGAGGTTAGAGGGAGTGATTAGTGACACCTAAAGGGACACTGCCAGGACCAGGCTCGGTACCTGAGCCCCGCGGGGACAGCGTTTAGAGGGCAGAGAGGCCAGGTGAGTCCCATCCCCTGCGGTGTCACCACAGGCAGCCAGTCCCCAGCACACTTCCCGCATGCCCCATTCCTGCGCCGCAGCAGGCGTCGGTCAGCAGGGTCACCCACAGCTCCCTGGAGAAGACCACGCAGCCACGGCTGTGACTGTGGGGAGCGTTCCCATCTCCCGCTCCAAAGGAAGGGGTTAAATTCAAACTCAAACTCCGGGAGTCAGTGTCCTTTTAGTACTACGGGGGGTTGATCCTGTAAACAAGCAGTACCTGTGTGCGCGATCCCAACATAAAAGCAGCTGAAAAGAACAGAAGAAGGCAAAGAAAAGTCAAACCGGTACCTCCGGTGAGTAATTCCAGCAGAGAGGGAGTGTAACGGAGCAAGGAGGACAGTTACAAGGTGGGGGGGAGGCTTTCGGCAGCACCGGGGTGGGACGGAGCCCGAGAAGCCCCCGTAGGCTGCGGGGCTGAGCGCTGCCCTCCACTTACTTGAAGTACAGGACCTTGAAGGGGAAGTTGAGTTTCCACGATGCCTGTAGTTTTCACTCTGGTCCGCAGAACGTCCTGCTGAGTCGGAATGTAGGTCGGCTGGGATATTCTATCCAAGTCATTTAGGTAACTAAACCAGAAGAGACAACACAAGATGAGCTTTTTTTAGGCTGCTCGCTCACCATGAATCTTTTATAAACTGCAGAAGAAAGTCACAACGGAGCTTATTCATCATCCTCACGTCGTACGGCCCTCGAACAGGCAGCGAACAAACCCCCTTGGGTCGGTTTTATGGCGGAGGGGGTTTAACCCTCCCCGTGTGACCTTGCAGCACGCAGAGTTCAGCGTGCCGGCGAGCGGAGCCCAGTAAGGCGCCAGCACGACAAGCAGCGCCGATGCAGAAGCCGTGCCAAGACTGGTATCTCCCGGGGCAATTCAACGCAGTCAAGGTCTTTTGCATCAAAGCACAAGACAATAAATCCAGCGGCTCGCTTTTAAAGGGCACGGAGACGTCAAACCAACCAAGAGGAAAGAACGAAGCGGCAAGAACTACCCCCAAACCGGGCCGATCCCTCCAG